GCGGGGGGCCGGTGGCGGGGCCGCTTGCGTGGAGAGCTCGGGTAGGCAGCGGCTCGACCTGGCCCGCTAGAGAAACTAGGGGGCAAGCGACCCGTGGTTTACGGGTTTTGCCGTTATACACGTATCAGGCGATAATAGCAGCACAGGTATGGAAGCTCAGTTAAATATATTTAGAAGAGTCACGTTTTTGGGGGGAAGAAGTGTAAACAGTAGCCAGAGAGTAAAAGCAATCCTTTTTTTTCAGTAATGCTGATTCTGGAGCGTGGCTGTCTGCGACTCTGCTGTTAGGAATGAAGTGCCACAGACCTGGTGTCCAGTAGCTAGGGACGAATTCAATTAGCGTGGCGGCCCAAGCAGCTGCCTGCAGCGCGAGCAGCCTGCCACGAAAGGTCAGCTACACGCTCTCCCCCGGCACGTTAAAGTGCTGTTATTTATGAGCCTGCTGTCTTGAGGCCTCCGAATACCATTCTGAGTCTTAACAAAACTCAGTCTGTGAGCTCATAGGTAGCGCTCCGTTGCTGGCTCTCTCCCTTGCTGTCAGGCTCTGCCTGTGCAATGTCTCTAGTGACACTGGGAGTACTCATGATAATAAAGCATGTGAGTAAGGGTTTACGGGATTGCAGTCTGTATTTCTTCCTTTCCTTGATAACGTGAGCACAGAATTAGATTTGGAAAAATATTACTAGCTTTTAGGTATTTTTCTCTTTGTCCTGGTGCTGCTATTTTAAGCTATAAATCAGTGTTCCTGTCAGACTAGCTCTGCAAGAGATGAGATTTCTAAGTATTTCAGAACAAATAGGATGCCCTTTTTGTACAGACAGTGATACATATAGAAAGAGCAATTAAATCAGCAAGTGTACTGATGTGCATAAGGATTTGTCATTACAACTTGTAGCAGTTAAGCTGTTTTTGTTGGGGCTCCTGGGATGGGTTGTAGGCCCAAAGAGATAAGAAAAACAGATTTTTTGTTACGTGCATTTTGTGCACGCTTAGAAATGCTGGTAATACTTCTAGTTCTGGATTTCTTTTTTATATTTTTTATTTTTATTTTTATTTTTTCTTTCTTCTCTACAAAAGAATCGTGTTTACATGTGGGTATTTATTCAGTTTTCAGTGGAAGAGGTCAGACTACTAATTTCCATGCTGTACTGCCTAATTTTGTTCAGAAACAGGTGTATCTGTAGGCTCAATAACAGATAACCAAATTCTGTACTGACATTCAAGACGTACTTAAAATAATCAGCTTTTTAGTGATAATGAGTATATGAAGTTACATTATACACTGTAAGTGTACTGCATGCTATTAGCTATATCACATTTTACTTGCTATTTCTAGTATATGCATTCCCAGTAATGCCTCTTTAGCATATTATGGATCAGTAATAATGAGTACACATAAAAATCCTTATGGATAGTAATGTGCAGCAGCTGGAAATTACAGAAAGCAATTAGTCCATGTTATGAACTAATCATCTGCTAAATTCCATTTTGTGGAAGTATGCAAACCTAATAAACCACTTATTTAGTCTTTTGTGGAACTTGCGCATGAGCTAAGTTCTCTGATGAAAATAATTACTTTAAGTCTGGGATCTTGTATACTGAGTTGTAGCTGCAGGCCTCTACTTATTTTTTAAAGAACTGAAAATGTGTTGTTTGATCATTCTAAAAGGCTGTCATGGTGGTTCTAATAGGTACAGTCACTACAGGCAAAATAAAATATAAAGAACATATGGACATCTTTGGCAAGCTTCTGAAACTATTCACCTACAAGGCCAAAATTTGTATATTTGTGTGGGGGGGGGGTCAGGCAGTATTCTTAGTTTCAGCATCTGGGTTATATTGGAGTGATTTTTGCAAATGCAAAAATTAACTTTTATTGTCTATACTACATGACTGTAGTACAGTAGTCTCGTCACTGAAATTCTCTGCTTGTTATTGCTCTTACTAACTGTAATTTTTGAAGCCGCATCCAGCAAAATCATGAAAGGAACAGCTATCAATACATGCAGCACTGCCTTTTTTTTCAGTACCACCTTTACGTTGTTTTCTCTTTTCTTTGCAGTATTCAAATCTGTCACATTGATGTCATATGAATAGCAACATTTTTTTAAAGCAAATTCTTTTGTCCTTTGCACCATTCTGTATCTGTAATTGTGCATTAATTATGCTCCTACTGTGAGCTTGCTTCTCCAGTTTATGGTTTTACTAACTCTCCAGATCCTAACAGATGACTACAAGATAATGACAGATTTTGATCCCAATATTTTCTGTTTATTGAGCCCAAGGTGGAAATGTATGAATTACTTTATTTGTCCTATTTCCAATCTGGTATTGCACATGCAATGGTGAATTCCCACTGAGAAAAAAGAAATGGTGAACCTCTTTCCCTTCCCCCCCACTCAAAATTTTAGTATTATTAAGAAGCATTGTAGTGGTGCTGAGCATCCCAAATAAGATAAAGTGGTTAGACAAAAAGATTAGTTTATAAGACACTTTCCATATCTGTTGCTATTTCATGAGTAGAACTCGGGTGAGTTCACTTAAACCCAGTTCTCCAAAGAACTTTATGCCAGCAAACATTTGTGCTTACAGGAATCTCCACTGAATTCAAGGCCGAACTTTCTCTCTGTGCCAGACCATCAGTTAATAAATTCTTATAACATGAAATTCCCTGGATAAAAAAATGCTATAGGCACAGTCTTACTTGTATTCCCTTTTTTACAAAATTATGATGAGGCTACACAAGAAGATAAAAGACTGTATTTGGCTTGATCCAGGTTAGAGTAGAGGCACTGAATCTCTTCCCTCTGATTTTAATGAAAGTTGGGCCATAATGAAATAAGAAAATATGATTCCATGCTGCATCTACTGAGCATAAAGACCTCTAAATGTCCATGACATAAGTCAATTCTATGTTGACCAGATCTACATTTTTTAAATTTTGTTACTTTAACTGAGTAGTTTCTTTCTGACAATTTGGTTTTTGCTTTCCACACTTTCTGCAGGTCTGTAATAGAGCAGTGGTATTGTTGCTGGCTCCTTCTCACTACCTTCTCACATATGGCTACCTCCATATGTTAGTGCATCTTTTAATGAATTAAAGAAACCCATTCTTTACTTCCACTGAAATAAGTGAGATGTATGATACAAAAGTAATAGACTTCAGTAGAAAGGGGAGGATGCTGCATGCTAACAAACAATGTAGCTGCAATGCTGCATCTTCTGCAGTGTCTTTTGGCGGGTTCTGCCTCCCTGTTCATACTGCGTGCTGCCGTGGGGGTGCATAGCACTGCAATGGCAACTGGCAGGAGCAGTGGAACAGAACCATTTTCAGAGAGCTTGCTGAACTTGTGATTGTTTATAATTAGGAGGTGTTTTGCTCACATGAATACTTCAATTAAGTCCGTGAGTCTGCC